GTGTTATCTATGAGGAACCCATAGAGCGCGCAAGTTGATGTGATGTTCAAAAAAGTTTGATTGGTGTATATACATCGCAATTCATTTTCCAATTTACCCACGTTTATCATGGGGTAAAATTTTGAGACAGTAGCCAACAAATGGATGGGAAATTGACGTGCAAATTTTGAAAAATTTTTGGGGTTCATCAAAGAGAACGCGGCAAGGTGTTCAGTGCGCAGACGATCGCCTATTTGATTCACCAGAATGCCACAGCATTCCTTTGCAGACAAAATCAAACGCTGCGTTGTTGCCGCGACAGTAGCCAACAAATGGATGGGAAATTGACGTGCAAATTTTGAAAAATTTTTGGGGTTCATCAAAGAGAAGGTGTTCAGTGCGCAGACGATCGCCTATTTGATGCATTCCTTTGCAGACAAAATCAAACGCTGCGTTGTTTGCCCGCGGCGTAAAGAAGCACTCCATGTGTCGTCGTATTTTATTGTTTCCCGGATACGAGATACAGCATCGCAGAAGTCTGAAATACACGACTGCACAGACGCTCCATCCATTAGCCTTGACTGCAATGCGCCGTATAATACATCCACGTGATAGAATATTGTGGAGAAAAAATGAAAACTCACCATCTTCTAGCAGACGCTTTAGACCTGCCGCCTCCCTCACAGAGCGTTCGTCCCAAACCGGAGAGCTCTGAATGCCATTGAAACACTCAATGAGCTCAGACCTAATTTCGGACACGCCCTGCACCACGCGTGATTGGAAGTTCCAACGTGTTGGTGCACAAGCTGGGAGACGGCGGCTACATATCTGGCGAAGGATGTCAGAGCGCTTCGGCGAAACGGAAAAAAATGAAGAAAACTCCGAAACATTTGCAAACAATATACGGACGAGAGGGGTATCAAGACACATATTTTTAATAACGAGGTTAAATTGGTGTGCATAACAATGTAAAAAATGCGCATGAGGAAAATCTTCTTTTATATAAACTTGAACACCATGTTTCGACCCACTCATGACTGCCGCGCCGTCATAAGTTTGGGATATCAATTTTGACTTCGCGTTGTAAGGCTGTAACACTTCTTTCAGTACAGCCGATATCCCGCAAGCCGTGCGATCAACGATTGGTACAAAGTTGTGAAATCTCTCGGTAGGTTTACCATCTTTCACAAACCGAAAAATCACAGCCAGTTGGGAAACGCACGTGATGTCAGTTGTCTCGTCAGACTGAATCGAAAGGAACTGGCAATTCTCAATTTCCAGAGCCAAATGTTGTAAATAAATTTTATACATTGAGTCGAGCAAATCATTTTGGATATCCTTAGATGTCCCTTTCGAAACAGTTGCGGCATCAAGATGATCTCTCAATACTGTATCTAGGGATGCGGTGTATTCCACCATATCCAAAAATACCCCTCTATTAGAAGAGCCAGCCCGTTCATCGTTCCACGGTGGGACAGCTCGTGACAACCAATGAACTTCAAAACATCTATCAATCGACCGAGAACATGGCGGTTTTTCTCGACGTTTTGGTTGTGCCGACGAATAGAAACCGCGCGTCCTTCATCCAACTGTGCTGCAATATTAACATTTCCGAATGTTCGGTATTTTACTGCATTATCCAGATGCTCCATAGAAGATTGATGATCCCTGGCACGCTCAGAAAGATGTTTAAGATCTCTAAACCCAAATTTACACCAACGTGAGTCACGGGCGGTAGCAAAAAGTAGGCAATAAAAACAAAAAAGTGCATTTTTGTCCTCGCTGTAACACAACCATTCGTGTTTTTTATACCAAGTTTCTGCGCAGAATGTACGCCGACGCTTTCCTCCGTCATGGGATTGTTCCAGTGAACAATTTTTTGGTTGATAAGGCCCAAGACGTTGTACCTCTAATTTTTGTTCCAGTGGCAGCTGCGAAAACGGAGTGCGAAGTAGTGCATCAACCTTATTCATTATGAGGTCTAAGACTAAGAAATGCGAAGGCGGAAAGAAGTGAGGAGCTCAAAAGGAATGTGGAAAATCGAAAGCAAATGGACTAAAGTTCTCTAACTGATTCAAATAGCGAAACAAGCGACAAAAACGAAAGCGAGGAAACTATCAACTCTTCAAGCAACCAACGAACGAGAAGGAATGCGCGAATATGTCAACACGTTGTTGTAAGAAACGTCGGCATTGTGTCGTCATAATTTCGGCGCTAGCCCCGATCAAAGTGACTATAAACCAAGTGAGGACAACCATTGGTAACGTTATAGGCGCTATGTGACGTCACACCCGCCATTTTGTGTCCAAGAGTTCTAACGCTGTATGATCATAACTAAGTGATTTTAAACCTGCGATCGTTAAACAGTTGAATATAAAAAAAGATGCTTAATTCGGAGCAAACTATCGCAGCGGCAAAACGAATGAGCATTCTTTTGAAAAATTTATTTAAATTTCTCAGATATCTCGGCTCGGCGGTATGGTCAGCATATACGAAGTTATGGTTAGGGTCATCCAACTTCACTTGATAAATCGACACCCAATAAGACCAAAAATATTAAACAAAGTTGGCCCCGATGATTTAGTAAATGAAACAGAAAACAAACGAGACAAACGCGGCGAGTGGAAGATAAAAGAGAGAATACGATATACAATGAGCAACCGGGGCAAAATCGGCTTCGCCCCGTCGACGTTCGGCGAAGGCTTTGCGAGCGAAAAATGAACCATGTCGGAAGAATATGGCTAGTGTAGACAGTCTGTGCAACCGATATTGAAGTATTTTTCGAATATTTTTCATTATACCGAAAAAAACAACCGGGGCAATGCCCCGGTTGGCCCTATTGACGCGCCGCCACTGCACTGTATTAGCTTATAGAAACCATAAGGCCCACAATGTAAATCGGCACTATGTGTGAGAATGTATTGGAAATTTGGCGATCTGTGAGCAAGTAAATGGGGTAATATCTCGTAACCGCTTTCAGGAATTGCAGAGATGTTTTGTAAACGATCCAAGTGCTTCAGACTAGAGATGTTTCATTATCGGCTATTTTTTCGGTATCGGTATCGGCTGAATTTATACCGATATTTCTGATATATTTACCTTTTTGATATGATCAATAATGTTTTAAAAGATAAGTTAAAATATTACTTTTTAATTTATTTTTTGCCTGGAGAGATCGTGAACTATGAGCCATGCATGTCTCCAACCTCGCGAGTGGTAACGGGAATTGGATTCACTTTTTTTAAATATTTACTAACAGAATTAGCTCATCTAATTTGGCTATTTTCGCTGCCATATTTTTTATTGACATTTTTAATACATATTAATTATAAAGATATATATCAACACGGCACAGAAAAGAAAGCAACCAGGTGCCCAGTTTTAAATCATACAGTGGAATCGGAGTCCTTTTCTACAGCACATGCACGGTTATAAATTCTGACTGTTTATCGTCAAGCGCGAGTGCCATTCAGTCAATCGACGTCGTTAAACTAAATTCTGACACAATTATCCCCCACGCAGGTATTATAAATTGTGATTATATTAATTTTAATTTTGTTTGAATACACAATTTCTTTATAGATTTATTGATGTGGTCGCCTAGTATTATAGGTACGTCTAGTTGGCGCTGATTGATATCCTTTCATTTCGGTTGTAATTTATTGCCGCGACGATCAGGATTGAACACAAAATGAAATATTTGCATATATTCGATATTCTTTTAAACACGAAAAACGATATTCGAAAGTCGCGATATTAATATTAAATTGGAATTGGACATCCCGGCATATGAATTTTCTAATTTGACACCGATATTACTACCGTCAGTGTACAATGCATCCGAATCAATTATTGCAACTGGATATAAATCTCATATGTGATATATCTCTTTTTCAATCTGAAATAATGTGTACTATGAATAACGCTCAGAGACCATTGTTTTAACCCGTCTGCCCTACACAGCACACATTAAATCAAGAGTTCCCAAACTTTATTTCCCGCTTGCCAAAATTGGTATAGGAAGGATGTTCGCGGGCCGGATTTGGCCCTCGGGCCGCGGTTTGGGAACCCCTGCATTAAATTAAGATAATAATTACATAGTATCGGTATCGGAATATTGGCCATTTTGTAATATCGGTATCGGCGTTTTTAGTTGGTATCGGTTTCGGCGACAAAAGTGGTATTGCCACATCTCTACTTTACAACAAAAAATATTCTGACAAAAGCTACAGTGTTTCGACCTGCGTGTTTTCAGGTTAGGACAGTTGAATACAAATCTGCTGACACGATGGGGGGCTAATATAGGTTTATTTCGACTTCATAATCAGCATAAACGGCGATGAAATGGTTGATAAAAAAAATAATCAAAAACTGATTATGAAATCAAGCGAGAAAACAAAACCTTGGATAAGGTTTCAAACGTACAGATTATAATATAGAAGGTATTGCCAATGGGAAACGGGACGTGTTGAGTTTAAGATCCATGGAAGAACCACTGTTCGAAAGGTGGAGTGACAGTTTGCTTCGTTTGAGCAGAGTAGTCTCTGGTTTAAGGGCGAAACTGACTCATGCCCTTTCAATATGAAAATTATTTTTTGTCGTGCGATTGCTTCTACCGTTTGTTACCTTTCCATCCCTGTTTTATAATTTATACTGCAAATGAATCAAAAACTGCAAAAATTGTTCGTCCGTTTTAAATTGAATAAAATATTTAAACTTGTTTTGAGTCAACGAATCAACATTCCGTTTTGAGTCATGCATTTTCACTATTTCAAAGTGAAGTCGAAGGTTCAAATTTGTTTCATATTTGTCTAACATATTTCGAAAATACAAAAGATGCCAAGCATTAGATTCTGTGCAACTATTTATTTTCCAGAGTTAAACCGTAAGCGTTAAACCAGGATGAATGATATAAAGCTCTCTGGTGGTTCGATCATGGTTAACTGAATATATTCAGTTTAATGTCATTGATTCAGTTAACCATGGTTCGATCACCAAGTGCTGGCCACACGGGGCGCGGTGAGCCTGGCGGCGTCAGGGCGGCGTATGGTAGCCATGGTTTAGCGTCCAGATTTTGTTATGATTCTTTATGACTTAGTCTCCCCCCTTGGTGCGGCTGTCAAGTTTGTTTAAATTTATTAAATGTGATGACACGGCCGCTATTATGGCAGATCAGATTGTCAGAAGTCTTAAGCCGGGCACAAAACATATAAATTTGAATGGGAGGAAGCTGAAAGCAGTGCCCAAACCCATCTGCTTGGTCACCAACTTGGTAGTACTGGAACTGAAAAACAACTTCATTCATGACTTGCCTAATGCTCTTTCGAGACTTGAAAACGTGAGTAGATATTCGATTTATCGGATAGGCTAGTCAAATTGAGAAATTTCTGGGCAACTGAAGTTTATATCCAGATATTAGGTACAGTATTATTGCTCTACCGTTTGTGTTCAGCATTCAGAAACAACAATATTTTACTGTAATCTTTTCATTTAAATAATATCTGATACAGAAAAAGTAGAACAGTTGATATTTCAACTTGCCCTACTCATGTATTCCAAATACTGAAATATGTGCATAGCTTAGCCTATATATTTCAAATAGATTTCATTCATTTATGTTATCTTTTTGGACATGAGCTCAAATTGCTAATTTTTGAATCATGTCAGACTTAGTTTTTTCAAAGAAATTTGACTTGTCCATCAACTTGGAGTAAATTATAAGCAGTATGTTATACAGTACCCACAGGAATTTAAAACTGTTGGGCCAATGAACAAAAACAAACTAGAATGGGATTATTGATGAAAAGCAATATTAACATACGGTATTTTGGAATGAACTGCCATCCATTTACATATATAAGCTTGTTATTTTTAGCTTGAGATATTAAACGTTGGTGGAAATGAACTGGAAATTCTTCCTGAGGTTATAAAATCAATGACAAAATTGACAAAGCTGCATCTGTTCAAGAACAAGATACAAGAATTAAATACGAATGTCCTTTGTGAGTGAGCTGGAAATATTATTAAATATTGATATAAATATTTGAATATTAATTTGTAATATTTTAATTCTACTCAAACTTCATTTTGTATTCGTATAGTTATTATAAAGGAAAATATTGTAGCATTGAAGGTTTGTGTGTACAGTTGTGAATGATTAAACTCTTAGTTGATTTCTTGATGCTTCTTATCCATTTGACATTGCTATATTTGCATTTATTGTGTTTATATTATTTTTATATCAACAGGCCAGCTCACATCATTAGTATTTTTAAATTTGAATGATAATCAGATAAAAGAGATTCCACCTGAAATCGAAAGGTTTGTTGCTGATCATTCAATTTAAAAAATCTGTTAAACTGTAAAATTCATTGCCTATTTATGTTGAAGTTTGTAACTCAAACTCACCACAATGTCGTTCGAGGAATCAGTTTAGACTTGATTGAAATATTAAGCAAATCCAACCAGAAAAATTACTTATTTATTCGCCTTGGGTGGCCTCATACTTTCGGAAAAAGTTGTGAAAATTTCATAAAATTTTGTACAAAATTTAGATATATTTTTATAATTTATTTAAAATATCTATGAATTATCATAATAGATTTCCCATTTTTATTAGAATTTGAAGAAATTTTCAACACCTTTTAAAATAAAGTATTATAAATTTGTTCTGATGTATTTAATATACTATTTTGAACTTATTTCAAACAATTCTATTGGGCTGTCCAAGCGATTCGAAATCAAATCACAAATTATCCGAATTGTTTTTCGGCTAATTTTCGAATCACTAAAATCAGGTACATGAAACGGAAAAGGCTTACAACCACCTTTGCAGGACGTTAGACGACTCTCGCTCCTGGCCTAATTGGTTTCCTAATATTTCTCTCGCCTTAATTTTGCGATAAACATGTCATTCCTAATGCCCGGTGGCACGTGATTAGCCCTTTCATGCATGGTCATCATAACTTAAAACTTATAATCGGTAATGACGTTTTTGAGAGAAAACAAGGAGAAAAGGGCAATTTATTATCGTTAGAAAACAACAGCTCCATAAATAGAATCGATTTAAAGATATTGAGTTAGTTATCACAGGAACATGGTACAAGCAACTCAAAGCAGAAACAGGTATTGTGGGATCCTCATGATGGCAATACCTTCTTTCAATGGAATTTGTAATTTTTTTATGATGGCAATACTGCACTCTTGCATTTGGATGGCTGTTGTACACTAACAATATTATAGTCATCAAATAATATTGTCATCAAACTAGCTTCGAATTTGTTAAATGCAATTTTGAATTTGAGCAACAGTTTTATCTATATTAATGGTTGTTATCATTTTGCTGAAAATGACACAAAAAAACACAAGACCATTGATAATGGGATTGATATAGCATATACAGGCTTTACATACCCTATCAAAACTGAATCCATTATAATTGAAAGTGCAATTTTTGAATTGTGCAATTTTTACTCTCAACACCCAACAGATTTCGAAACCCTCTAATTTTGTGGTCCTTCATTTTTTTTGACCAGTTCATACAAGTGTGATCTCCTTTCATAAATTCGAAAACATGGTATTGCAAAATACCAGCAGTAAGTCAGATGTAACTGCAATACATTACCACAACGTCGAAGGGCAAGCGTTTACTGTATGATAGAGGCAGATTTAGGATTCGGCGAAAATATTTGATTCGAATCAAAAAATTATTCGATTTTGGACAGCACTACATCTCTAGGCACTGTGCCTTATCAATTTTTGTGGTACGGTAATTGAAAATTCTGACTACAAAATGCCCCAGAATTGTGACTTAAAATGAAATGGTGTATTTCACATATCTGAACTGGCAACTTTATTTTTATACATTGATGTAGGCTACAATACTCTTATATATTATACACTATTTATACATTATTAAGGTTAAACATTTTGTGTGCGGAAAATGATAGTCATTAAATTTATTTTCAGATTGGAGAAGCTTGAAGTCATCAGCTTGAATCATAACTGCCTCGTCACTCTTTGCAGTGAAATCTGTTTTCTTCCGAACCTTCGAGAAATTCATGCAACTCATAACTCACTTAGTACACTACCTCTTGAATTAGGATTCTTAGAAAACCTTGAAAAACTTCATTTATCAAGAAATAAAATCAAAGAATTACCTGAGGTGCGTAGTATTAGGTAATGAGAATTTTTATCAGTATGCCTTTCACTACAATAGTTATGGTAATAGAAGACAACTTTAGCTTCAGTTGTGTCTAATCCACTACATCATAGCTGTTATTCTGATTGTACTGACTTGAACTAGTCTTATAGCATTCACTGGCATGTAGTGACCATCACCATCACAAATTTACATAGCTCATAGTATTCAGTGTTCACTGGTAATTTTGCTCGGAGATCTTTCACTCTTTGAGTAATTGCATGTGGCCTTGAGTTAAAAAAAAATTTTAACAAAATTAAGTACTGATAGTATACTAGAGTAATTACCGTATGAAAAATTTATGAAAAAAGTAAAAATGTATTTTATCTTATTTAAATCACAAAATTTATCACACAGTTTGACTCTTGAGTTATATTTTGATGGAATTGCTTATATTAGGTGGTTGAAAATATACTGTCATTTTTGTATTGTTGCTCTAGAAAAGTAAAGATTTGTTTTTTTACAAAATCACTCACATTGAAAAATGTTGATAGGGATCATGTAGAACAGTGGTTGGCAACCACCGGGCCGTGGCTCATTGCCGGTCAGCAGAAAGGTGGCATAAAATGTACAAGGCTCTAATATCATCTCTACAACCTATCAACCACACTCCCCAAGAAAAACAGCACCCAACAACAAACCAGACATACACAACTATCTGAGAAGCATGACTTCACAACCAATTAACATATCGCATTGTGTCTGCATGAGAAAGCCTCAAAGCAGTCTGAATAAGATTTCCCAAACAAAAGGATTTTCGCTAACAACGTGACTGCTGGCTCGCAGCTAACCAGCCAGACCTAGTAGCTAATAGCACTGTGCAATACCTATACTCTATGATAATCACAAAGTTAGCAAATCTTGTAATAAAATTAGCCATGGCTAAACAAACAATAATAATGCATTTCCTAAACGACTGCGCCCCAATATCTAACTGAGAGTGTCGATATAACCGGAACCTCATCCGCGAAAAAAAGACTTTCAAGAGCAAGTACAGTGAATTATATTTGCAATATGTATTTGTAGCCGCAAGTGACAGAAACAAAATTTGTCCAGAAATTTACGACCTTTGTCAGAGCAGTTGAATAAAATTTCCAATGATAATGACTCAATGAGTTGGAAAACGTCTCTCAACATCTACATTGGCAGTCTTTTGGTCAAAACTCTTAGATGAATGCCCAAACATAGCCACAGAAGCTTCACAGGCACTGTTATCTTTTCCTTTGTGGATTCAGGTTTTCAATATTGACAAATACAAAAACAAAATACCGAAGTAGGCTGGGCGTACGAAACACTATCACTGGGGACCATAACGTTCGTTTGTATATATTTTGGTCAGGCATTACCGGTCTGTCACTCAAAAAAGGTTGCCGACCACTGATGTAGAATATTTTCATAAAATAAAATGTTTGTAAAGTGTTTCTTTGCATTTATCCTATTACATTATACTTGTCTTACAGGGCTTAGGCAAACTAAGAAAACTACGTCTTCTTGATGTTGCTGCAAATGAATTAAGAATATTTCCAACAGAGGTAAATGACAATAAAATTGTAATTGTATTCAATTTGTCATATGCATTTCTTTTGAAAAACTATGGTACATTTTTCTAAAAAAGCCTTCATTCAACTTGATACATACAGCAATATTCAGGGGAAGATTCGCTGTTTTGAATTAATAAGAGCCTAAGAGAATATCAATTTTTATCCACGTATCACGAGTTCCAGCGTCTGTACAATGAATCTTATTGGTTGCACATCAGAAGTACTAATCTGGACAAAATGAAAACATTATGAAACTTAGAATTTTTTTTCATTATTTCATGTTTGATATTCATTACAGCTTTCCAATGTTCCTTTAAAAGAGTTGTATTGTGAAGCAAATCCATTATTGGAATGCATTGCTGTACATTCTGTACAAGAAGAAGAAATTTTATCTTTAAAGGTAAACTACCTTTCTTTTATAAATTTTTTTGGGTGGTAATTAAAGTTGTGTTTGACCAGCTGATTTTTCTATTTTTTTTTGTTTTGTCCATATACATAGACTGCACTGATGCTATAGCAAGAACTCAAAAGTTTATGGTTCAGCTTGGTGGTTCAATGTTCCGCATGACACTTTCGTCAAATAAAAGTATTGAAGTAAATTAATAGTAAAGACTAAAACTTATTTTTTGCTGATTCATCTTTTGCGATTTCAATTAAAATTTTTGATTCCAGGAACTAGTTGCCCGCTTCATCATGAAAAATATCAAAGACAAGTGAGTATTATAAATTTACCACGCTCATATTATACATATAATTATTTTATTAGTTTTATTGAGGTTTGAGTTCTTCTATGAAGTTGGTCTGGTGTAGACATAGGACCTTTCGTTATATTACCTATTGCATACTTGACAAACACTCCAATTCAAATCCAAAAAACAGGTTGCTTGGTTTTCAAGATATTTATTTCAAGTCATGAGAGAGTTGATGTCTCTGCTTGAACATGCAAATGTATTGAATTTGAGTAACAATGAGTGTCAATTGTAAATACCTGACCAACAAATTATTTTCAGACTCAATAATTCAAAAGTGTTTTTATTTTTAGCCTATTAGCTAGGGATAGCCAAAATATATATTTTAATATTGCGAACACATTCTAAAATATTATTTTTGATTAGCAATATCTTCAACAACTGACCATTGTTTGCCATAATAGCATTATCCATTGTGTAGTATTAAGTTATTATCAATATCTCCTACAACAAGAGGCTTTGGTTTGTCATAATAGTGTTATCCATTGTATAATATTAAGACATTTCTGATGATAATCTTCTTTTGGCATTCGTATTTGATGTGTGCTGTAAATTACACCAGGTCATCCATTCTTCGGCATGAAATCCGAGACTTTCCTGCAGCAAGAGAAATGTTATCACAAGCAAGCAAATGTGCCGTTTGTTCAGATGCATTTCTCAATACCTGGTTAGAATGTGTTAAATTCATCTCTACGAGCAGTGAAAAGGTAATAATATGAAATAGGATGGAGTTTTTATTTGGAGGAAGGGGTTAAAGTATTGGACTTATCTAGTGGTTCTCAACCTTTATTCTCTCCTGGCCTACTTTCGTTGCACAGAAATGCTTCGGCCTATTACCATTATCATGCAATAGAAAAACTGCAAGAAAAAGGAAAAGGTATTTCTGCAAAGATTGACACTTTCACTCTAATAATAATGAGGACACCCTGTAGCAAAAAAACAGCGGCATATTCATTACTACTACAATCGCTATATTCAATAGGTTCGTGGCCTGCCTGAAAATGTCTCTTTGGGCCATGGCATCACAGATTACACATCTCTGATTCAAATTCCACGCCCACCACTTCACCCAGGGTGTAATAAATTGGGTAGACAATGTAGAACTGGAAAGATTCTGATCCTTCCAAGTAAAAGCAGCTCCAGATGTCAGTTGCTGCTTGTATAGAGCCTTATTCGGAACAAAAAGAAGGAACCCAATAATAATAAGCTTAGTCATGTGACCACTGTGGCCTTTCATGGTCCATGGTTATATTAAATCATGGACCATAGATGGCATGGAGGAAGCTGCAAGGCAATCTACCAATGATAAAGTGAACAACCATGTGACAGCTAGGAGTCCATCAATTATTTTACACAATAATTATCCTCATAAGCCCACATAGGGTGAACGGTGTTGCAGCAGCAAGTTCATAATAACTTAGCATGCAGAACCAATTGTCTGACGAAATTACAAGAATGATACAAACATCACAGCAGGAGCTTCCATCCAATACATAATTATTGTTAACAAAAGAATATTCGAGTAGTTGAACTTAATAATTTAGTGATGAACTGTGGGAGTGAATAACATGATTTGAGTGTATTATAATTAAATATTTGTTCGAAATGTAATTGCAATTTCTCGCTCTATGAAAAGAATTTTCAACTGACATTTTCAAGGTGAGCAATGTCAAACTATTTTGTACAAATTACCTTGACTGGCAATCACAATTCCTCAATGATCCATTTAATTGAAGTTTGTCAACAAATGATATTGGCTATATTGTGGCTCTTATTCGGTCAGTTTTTTTTTTATATTTACATTCATGAAATGTAAGATTTTATTTCTGATGTTGGCAGTGCAATAGCTAACATACTTATAATTAATTATATGACTAATGAAAACAAATTAAAAAGAAACTAAACCCGTAGATATAGCTAACATACTTGAATTATATGACTTATGAAAACTTGTTTGGAATGACAAATTAAAATAAAACTAAACCTGTGTGAAATGAACCGACAAATTGTTGTTATGAGTGCTCTCCGTTCCAGTGAACGATTCCATTGTAATGTTGGAATGTATTTAACACTAGGCTGTTCCAAACCATTTCAAACGAAAGTTTGTATAGCATTGTAAAAGCAAATACCAGTTTGACCAAAATCAAACAAAAAGACATCATATAGGCTTATATATGGAGTATAGTAAATTGATCGCCCAGTATTGAACTATTGTGGTGTAACATCTTTTCATCTGTTATATGAAATTTGATTCCACTATGTGTAGTATCATTTTACTCAACCACTGAAATCTGTAGGATTGGCTAAAGTGTTGTGTTAACATTCTATGAGTTTTATTTGACAAATCTTATAAAATATGAGAATAATCTTCAAGTTCATTTACATTCTAGAAATATTGATTAGGCTTGTCTAGCTAATATGTGCAAAGACTGTATTTGTATTTTGAAACTCGAAATCTGCTATGTCTTGCTATGATGTATGTGTAAATATTTCGCAATGTCTGGCTTCATTTCATCATCATCATACTTGTTTGACCTTCAAGAATGTCTCGCTACTTGACATGGGAGATATCACAAACACACATTTATTTTAATATCTTGGTTGAATGAAAACAGCTCCGAGGCAAATTATTAAACTCTTGTTGCAAGTTGTAACAAGTGTATTTCCTAATATTGCACGCACCACTGGCATGTTGTAGTAGTGTGGAATTCCACAAAATTAAATGCCAGGTGAATTGAAGGAAAATGCCAGTCATTCGTCATGCCAAGAAATGCTTGATCATCAATAAGAAAATTAGCAATTAGCATTTCTGCATTAAAAAAAATGTCAATTCATCAATAAATTAAATGTGTCCATGCATGCTTAGATCAATTTTGTAATTCGCGTTAACACAGATATCTACTTAGATTGATTGACATATATACTAACACAATGATTAATCTACCTTCTTTCAAATATGCTACCCTTTCCAGGAAGTCGTTTGAATACTGTAGCGTAAAATAAACAACCCATATACCACCTGTACGAGGTCTTTCCTTCATCGCGGACCTCTAATCTTAATACAAAGTCAATGGAAGATATGCAAAAACTTTTTTATATCCCATAGTTTAAATGTTTGGAAATGAATTGCCAAAATTTTGATACTTGTAATGAATGAACTTAACACGACTTTCACTCACGTTTTGGCTCTGGAGTTATGATTTATTGATTTGCTATATTTTTTAATTAACAGGAAATCAAGATAAGGAAATGTAGTCAACATGTTATACCGGTCCGTGCTCTTCTTTGTTCATACAAATGCTTCAACACCCCGAGACATGGTTATTATGGAGTTGCATTCCCTTGACTGATGCGTTTATTTATATACCTGGATCCTATCTTTCTACCCAACCCATATGTACTACCTACATAATTTATCTTTTGCACTCTTTCATTTGCTCAATTATATTTTTAATTAAAATGAACTATTTTTTGAAATAAAAATATACAAACAAACTCAAATTGGTCTCAAAAGAATGGAATGGATAAACATAGGCCATAATTACATTTCCATGATGCAGCAAACTTATATCCATGTGAACACAACTTGTGGCAAAATAAGAACTTGGTTGACATCTAGGCAAAGTGTTTTAGCCTTCAAGAGCTTGGATCGGGAGTGAGTCTGATGTAAGCCTTCTCCGAAGGAAGCTTTGCTGTTTCGAAGCCTTTAGGAAACAACTTCTTCGCTTCATCATCTTTGATTGATGGTATAACCATGCACTTGTCTCCAGGTTGCCAATTTGCGGGTGTTGCAACTTTCTTTTCCATGGTCAGTTGCAAGGATTTCACCACTCTGAGTAATTCTGCTATATTTCTTCCTGTGGTAGCTGGGTAAAGGAGCGAAAGTTTAAGTTTCTTATCTTTTAATACAAAGACACACCTGGCAGTAACAGGCAATCCAGCTTTGTCAACTTCATCAGGATCCAGCATTCCAAGATCGGCTGCTTGCTTTCGGGATCCTGCTATGATAGGATAAGGAAATTTTCCACATGCTAGGCCATTGTAATGTTCAATATCCTTTATCCATCCTTCATGAGATGAAACAGTATCAATGGAGTAACCGATTAACTTAACTCCAAGTTTTTTAAAGTCTTCAGCTTGTTTCGCGACGGCACCTAATTCTGTGGTGCAAACTGGTGTATAATCTGCTGGATGAGAAAACAGAATAGCCCAAGATCTCCAAGCCAATCATGAAATTAAACTCCCCTTGAGTAGTTTTGAATTTATAGTCGGGGAATGTGTCTCCAAGCTTCAATGACATATTGCAATTTGCTTATTTCAGTAATTGACTGAGATAGTAATCTAAAAAAGGTTTATCAGTATAAAGGTCACAGTGTACATACGGTATATATATTATGGACATGGTATACCAGCAGATCAGTCCACATGTGTAAGACCATAATGCATCGAGTAAATTGCAGTATTATAAATACAGGAATATGCTGTCATATCAGATTGCATGGATATTTGCAATTTACGCCGTGGTGATTATTATTAATTAAACGGTGCTCCAGAAGTATGCGCACCAAGGTGTCGCACAACCTGAATCCTAACCGGTACACACACATACTATGTTCAGGTTGTGCGCCATCTTGGTGCGCATACTTCTGGAGGTCCAATTAAACACTCTTATCTCATGTCCTAGTTAATAATTCATATACAAATTTGATTCACTAATCGCGAAACAAAAAGACAAAGCCTGTTCAAAAATAGGGGTCTGGTAGAGTTTAGTACCACATGCACTTCTAGTTGGCCTGGCTCAACAATTTTTGCATATGTCATTTCTAACCCCCACCTGACCATGTCACCAAAAAATACCTCATTGGTGGCGTAATAAGGCCCAACAAAGTAAGCGGATAGTCGTGCAAAATGCGCAGGCGATCGCCCGAAAGCAAGATATTCCTCTCGTTTTATCGTGGCAACGATCACGATATGAGTGATATCCAGCGTTAGCGAGTTCGTTATCGGCGGCGCAGATGCCATTTCGGGCGATCGTAATTATAATTTGGCAAGCTCTATGACGTGTTGGTGGCGTTGTAGTGACGTAATTTTTGGATGGCATAGTCAGGTGAGGATTAGGAATAACATATGCGATATCTGTATGTTACGCCGACTGGAAGTACTTATGGTACTATACTAGACCCCAAAAATAAACCTGGTTAAATTAAAGATTGTTTGATCAACGTGGGCTCGCTCCTTGGTGCAAAATTTTATTTGTTCCCGCGCCATTTTCATATGTACTTAATCCATTACAGGTTGCCAATTTGACGCATGCAATCTTTCACAAAAACGAATATAATTACCTTTCCTCTCACTAATTCCACCACAATAGGTCTCCAAGACTAAGCGCGTCGAACGAACGCCCTCGACTGTGGTAATTTTATACTACGCACCCATTATTATAGCACGAGAGCAGTATTATGGCACGAGAGCAGACATAACGAACCGCTATATACAATGACTAAGCATAACAACCACTTGCACGTGTTGGAATTGAAGCCCCGGTCGTGTTGCACATCACGTCGCATAGCAAACTTCCCAGACATCCACTTTAACGTATAAAATACCAACACAAACACCACTTCGCTGAATGACTGCTACAGGTATATATGTTGGAACAGATTAATGAAAACATTTTTAAATATCTTTTCAATCATTCAATTGCCTGTAATGCTGATTATGGAGTCGAAATACACATATACTGTGTTTCCCCGAAAATAAGAACTACCCTGAAAATAAGGCCTAGCCTGAATTTTGAAAAGGTTTTTAATGTGAGCCCGCCCCTTGAAATAAGACCTAAGACACTTTTCTCACTCAGACAGATTTTCAAGCGTGGTCGTGAACTTTACCTCATTTTCGCGTTTTTGAACTCTATTCGTTCGTTTGCAGTTGTGTTTCGGAAACTTGAATATAAATCAGATATTTCAATGATCACTCTTCTTCTTAGGTCTTCCTAGGTGTTGTAATTTAATCGCAGTAATAAAAATGGCGCACAACCTGATAACCCTGACTAGGTACACATACTATGTTCGGGTTGTGCGCCATCTTGGTGCACATTCTACCCAAGCGCCCCTTTTTAACTTAAAATTAGGTGTATTTATATATGCATTTTAGCGTTATAATTACAAATATATGTTTTATTGTAATGTATGCCAAACGATTATGACATCACACACCTTAAAAGTAAAAGCTTCGGTTGCAGTTTTTTTGAGCAAAAATTAAGCATGGCTACGTCTTCTCTTAGGCGACATTGTTTAAACAATTTAAATTTATTTTGCTATATTTGCGGAGAATATACATTGCAATCCAACAGAAAAGGGATCAGTAAATTTGTGAATTGTGCTTATCTTGCCTACTTCAATGTAATGCTGGGTGATCAAGATAAGGTATGAGTACCCCATATTGTATGCAAGCAATGTGTTGAGCATCTTCCACAGTGGACAATAAATGATAGAAAGTCACTCTGCTTTGGTATTCTAATAGTCTCGAAAAATATTTTGATGACTGCTACTTATGTGCAGTAAACACGAAGGTAATCAATAGGAAGAACATGAGATCGTTAGTTTATCCCAGTGTTTCCCAACCCGAGTCCGCGGTCTCAAATGAGTCCGCGAAGCGTTTGAATGAGTCAGCCACGTTGCGCTTTACGTTAGAATTTACATAAAAAACAAGGTTAGTAACATTAATCGAGTCAATAATTACTGGTTACTGAGTATATCTGGGCATATATTCGAATATTCAACTATTAGAATTGCAATTTAACCGGGGCAATGTCCCGGTTGTTTTTTCGGTATAATAAAAAATATTCGAAAAATACCTCAATATCGGTTGCACAGACTGTCTACACTAGCCATATTCTCCCGACATGGCTCATTTTTCGCTCGCAAAGCCTTCGCCGAACGTCGACGGGGCGACGCCGATTTTGCCCCGGTTGCTCATTGTATATCGTATTCTCTCTTTTATCTTCCACTCGCCGCGTTTGTCTCGTTTGTTTTCTGTTTCTTTTACTAAATCATCGGGGCTAGCCCCGAAATTATGACGACACAATGCCGACGTTTCTTACAACAACGTGTTGACATATTCACGCATTCCTTCTCGTTCGTTGGTTGCTTGAAGAGTTGATAGTTTCCTCGCCTTCGTTTTTGTCGCTTGTTTCGCTATTTGAATCAGTTAGAGACCTTTAGTCCATTTGCTTTCGATTTTCCACATTCTTTTTGAGCTCCTCACTTCTTTCTGGCTTCGCATTCCTTAGCCTTAGACCAGTGATTCCCAAAGTGGGCGATATCGCCCCCCAGTGGGCGAAAAAGTCTAAGGGGGCGATAGGGGAGCGATTTCGCGAAACCTGTTTTATGTTCGGCGCACTTAATTCTGTACTCTATGTGCATTGGCAGGCTTGAATCATGTGGGCGATATTCACACGCGAATGGATTTCTGGTCTCGTCTTCGCAGTAAGGTGGGGTAGTTTGCGTATCCCAGTGGTCGGCAAAATACGGCCGGAGTAAAATAATCTGGCCCTGGACGATTCACTGAATGGACCTTTCCCCGACCTTTGACTGCGGAAAATTCTTCCCATACTTTACCATTTTAAAAGTTTCGGGGCTTATTTTAGGAGTGGTTTCGCGAGTTGTTGCCTTTAAAATGGGGTATTTGTTTCAAACTATCATTCTAATACACACCATCCAACAATCTGTTTTTTAAAAGTACCGATAAAGAATTTTAGCCTAGTCTATCACAGCTATTTCTACACTAATTTTTGATTGCTGTATTTAAACTGAAACTCATGGAAAGACAAAGTAATCATTGACTTATTTGATTTATATTTAAATTTCCGAAAAACAACTAAAAACTAACGAATATAATTAAAAAATGCGAAAATGAGGTAGTGTTCATGACCACGCCTGAAAATCTGTCTGAGTGAGAGTGTCTAAGCGGATGCGAAAGGGGGCATTGTTCCCTTTTTTTGCATCTTGCTGATTGGCCAATGTCACGAAGTAAACATGGAAGTCTATGCCCGGGGAAATATCCAAACGGCGGTTTTGACGATGAAATTTTTTTATTTATAATCTACGCTGAGGAGTAAATTACATTTTTTTACGTAACAGAATTTATCGTGAGACACGTTTAGACTAAATTATACTATATCCTAACAATCTAGTGAGCAGCCACTCGTTTAACGAGCCTACAATGTAATTATAATTAGACAAATGGAAACACGCAGAAAAGTTGATGCTGAGTGCAGGGGTTCAATAGCGCAGTAAATATTCGAATATATTGCGAAGCAATAAGAAAATAAAATTCATATTCTAATCGAGAGATTCATCACTGCTTAATTTTGTAAGAATGTATCTTCTTAGAGAGAAAATATTTAAAATTTCACAAATCATGCGAAAATATTCACTTCGATGTTTGGAAGTACATATTTGTGCAAATCATTATTTTCGAAAATGAACATTACAAAGAACAAGCAAAGAAGTGGGTTTGGTGATGCCCATTTAGAAAATGTTTCAATCTTGGCGTCGTAAAGCTATCCAGCGTGATGCAGCAACGAGACAGTGTCCATTAAATATCATTGTAATATTTTTTTAATAAGACGACTGAGTTGAGTTCACGAATTGTCGCAGTTTTTGCGTGCTGTTCCGTTTTTAACTTTCAAAAAATATATGCGACCCGCAAAAGACTAGCAACCCTGAATTTTGTCCTGCGAGCGACATAAAATTTGCCGACCCCGTAGCCGATAGTCAGTCACGGCTTCTTCCACATCCGAGTCAATGAATCCAAAAACAAATGGCTGGTTAATTATGGAATGGTGATCGGACTGGAGGCCGTGATAGGATGAGGAATCAGGGATGAATTTTTCCGAAATATTTTGGTGCAGGTCATCAGGCTGTACGAATGAATGAGATGTACGAAAATCATTATTATAAGTTTGGGAAAATTAACTTTGTTCTTATTATTTTAATGCGAAATGGGGTGAATTTAGGAAGTGAAATGCTATAAGGCAAGAGTACACGGCGGTTTTTGAGGAGGTAGAACCCTGGATTCTTTCATTTTCGATCTATTATATGGTGAAAAAGGGGTTTTCAGCTGTGCTACTATTGCTATTAAAACAACGAAATCACCTTTCCATCAGTAAACGGGGTAATTTTAGATATAATAAATAACTCGCTGAAGAACACCAAGCTCATCTATTTCATTAAAAAACACCATAAACTATTATTTGTCTTCTTATTTGGTCTGTAATATATTCGTTTCTGACTTTATATTTTTTTTGTAGTG